TTATTTTTTCGATTTCTGTGTAGATTACATCATGTTCACCACCCAAAGACTAATTACAACCCATCACCACACACACGTGTCTAATCATCCCTTTCTGCCCTCCTCCCTCCCCCCTTCCCCTCTGGTAACCACCAATCCAATCTCTGTCTCTATGTGTTTGTTTGTTGTTGCTTTTATCTTCTATTTATGATTGAGATCATACAGTATTTGACTTTCTTCCTCTGACATATTTTGCTTGGCATAATACCCTCAAGGTCCATCCATGTTGTCACAAATGGCCAGATTTCATCATTTTTTTTATGGCTGAGTAGTATTTCATTGTGTATATATACCACATCTTCTTTATCCATTCATCCCTTGATGGGCACCTAGGTTGCTTCTAAGTCTTGGCTGTTGTGAATAATGCTGCAATTAACCTAGGGGTGCATGTATCTTTACACATTCATGTTTTCATGTTCTTTGGATAAATATCCAGCAGTGGAATAGCTGGATCATATGGTAGCTCTATTCTTAATTTTTTGAGGAATCTCCATACTGTTTTCCATAGTGGCTGCACCAGTTTGCACTCCCACCAGCAGTATATGAGAGTTCCCTTCTCTCCACATCCTCTTCCACATTTGTTATTTCCTGTCTTGTTAATTATAGCCATTCTTATGGAAGTGAGGTGATATCTCATTGCAGTTTTGATTTTCATTTCCTTGATAGTTAATGATGTTAAACATCTTTTCATATGCCTGCTGGCCATCTGTACATCTTCTTTGGAGAAATGTCTGTTGTCTTTGGGGACTTGAAGAAGATTCCTCTGATCCTGAAGGAGAGGGGATGCCGGGTAGGTGATGAAAACTGAGATGTATATGAGACTCAGGAAATGGGACCTGGCTAAGGAAACAAAAGCCCAGATGGTTGTTTTTGGTCCAAAGACTTTAGGCCTTCTCACTTTCCAGGTAGAGATCCTTGGAACAAGGACCTGCTTTATTAGATGAACACCAAAATTACTCCCCGATCCCAAATCTTTGTCATGATATAGACATCTGCTTTGGGGGCTCTGCAACAGGTGTAGAAGGGATGACTTTCCACCTCTTAGCAGAATAAGATCTTATAAGAAGAAATTAACTTGAGTGACATCAGCAAGATGGTGGAATAGGAAGCCCCAGGGCCCCATGCCCGGAGGAAGATACCAAATTAACAACAACATAAAGACCAAATTGCCTTTGTGAGACCTCCAGAAACCAGTTAAGAGGTCACAGCACCCCAAGTGAGCACAAAGCCAAGAAGAGATGCAACAAAGTGGGTAGGAAAATGTGTGGCATTTTACCCAGCCTAGCCACACTCGCACCCTGGCACAGTGTGGTGCATTCAGGAGAAAACTCCCAACTATCATCTTCTTTCCTCTGGAGGGAAAGAAGAATGAACCATGTTTCCAGCATCATGACTTTTGAAGAGCCTGCCAGGGGTACTGGTTTCTGTCTCAACTCACTCGGAAAGCTGATGGGAACCAGCATAGTTTGGATGTGAGGTTGAGGGTCGCTGAGAACAAAGGCAAGCACCATGGCTTGTTACAGCACCACAGAGACTGCAGGATCTCGGACAGACACCAGAGAAAGAAAGAGAGTATGGACTCCCGAGAAGACGCAGGCAAACCTCTGTAACTGGGAGGTTTACATGCACGAGCTCAGAGAAGAGCCACCCCCAGAAGAAGTTTGAGAGGTCTCCAGAATCTCTAGCCATGCTGACTGGTGAAGGTCTTCCTCTTTATGAAACTAGTCTGTAGAGGAAGTGGCATTTTTTTTTTTCAAATGCCCAAATCTCAATAAAAGACCACAAGGCATACAGAGAAACAAGAAAATGTGGCCCAACCAAACCAAAATAAATCTCCAGAAACTGAAAAGGAGATCTATGAATTACCTGATTTCAAAAAGATTCACACACTCATATTCATTGCAGCATTATTCATAGTAGCCAAGAGGTGGAAACAACCCAAATGCCCATTGACAGATGTATGAATAAACAAAATGTGGTATATACATACAAAGGAATACTATTCAGCCTTAGAAAAGAAGGAAATCCTGTCGCATGCTACAACGTGGATGAACCTTGAGAACTGTATGCTAAGTGAAATATGCCAGTCAAAAAAACACAAATTTTATATGATTCCATTGATATGAAGTGTCTAAAGTAGTCAAATTCATAGAAACAGAGAGTAGAATGATGGTTCCAGGGGCTGAGCATGGAGGAAATAGAAACTTATCCTTCAATGGGTATAGAGTTTCAATTTTGCAAGAAGCTGAAAAAGTTCTAGAGCTCTTTGCACAACAATGTGTATATACTTAACACTACTGAACTGTACACTTAAAAATGATTAAGAAGGTAAATTTTATTTTATGTTTTTTACCATAATTAAAAATACAGAAATTAACTTGACTAGAAAAAAATAATGCTTTGTTTCTTGCACACCAGCCTTTACACAGAAGTCACAGAAGACCCTTTTACTTCTTGATCAGTGGTTCTCAATGTAGGAGTGAGGAGATTCTGTTCCTCCTCCATTTGGGAATATTTGGCAATATTTGGTGACATTTCTGGTCATCACATCTGGGGTGGGGCTTGTTACTGGCATCTAGTGACTAGAGATCAGGTATCCTTCTAAACATCCTACAGTTCACAAGACATCACCCCCCGCCCCAAAACAAAGAATTATCCAGTCCAAAATGTTATTAGTGCTTCTTTTGAGAAGCCCTGTCCTGAATTATTAATCACTGGGTGTCATTGTTATTTTATTCCTTCCCCTTCATGTTGGTTTAGCAGAATTCAGGCTTTGGAAGCAACAGACGGTCGAGGCAGTGTGGCAGATCAAAATCGGTCACCTTGACGGACATTTGACCTCCCCCACTAACTGCCTAAAGAATTTAACATAGAAGGCCTGTTCCAGGAAGGAGCCATTACCATATGATAGCTGTAATATAATGTAAAATAGACACAGTAAGAAAGGCACCAACAAGCCCGTCTTATCAAAAATTCTGTCTCTCCAGCCACATTCTCTATAGGTGGCCCTGTAAAGAGTTGCCTGACAAACATTTGCATTTCCGTCTCCATGTGAATTGTCTTATTCCTCTCTGAAATCCAAAACCACTACCCATCAACACCATCCTCACCTTTACCTGAAAATACTTAAGCAAGCAGCTTAGTCAGAATGACGAGTTTGCTCAGTTTCTACTGTTTTCTGAGTTTCTCCCATGTACACGTTGTTAAATTTTGTTTGATTTTCTCCTGCTATTCAGTCTCATGTCAATTTAATTTGCAGCCCAGCCAGAAATGACCCAGAGTGGGTAGAGGACAGTCTTCCTCCCCTTCAGCAGGATGGGTCTAAGTTGAGAGAATAGAGAGAGGAGTCTCTTGTTCAGACATTACTGAAGCCCAAAAGAAAAGAAAAAGAAGAAAGAGGAGGAGGAGGAAGGAGGGTTGTGGAGGGGAGATTGGTATTGGGATTTTGGATGGGGCAGGTGTAGAGGGAAGACAGTAAATAGACCTCTTTGGGGCCTCTAATCTGTAGGGTTCTCTGCTAAGCACCTCACGTGTGTTGTCTCATGCAATCCTTGTAACTTCTCTGAGGTCATTTAAAATTATAATAGCACAGCAAGAAAAATAGACTGGAGAGGGAATCTTGGCTTGGGTTGATAGATTTAATTGGTTATTAGCAAATTCCACTGAAGGGAATGTGTTTGTGGTTGTCTCTTAAGGGCCTGGCTCCTCCTTGGTCAAAGCTCAGGAGGAAAGCTCTACCCCACTATTTCACTGGGTGCTGGGATGGTGATCAGGGCTCAGGACATGATGGGAAAACACCAGCAGGTGCCTTGGGAAAGGAGAGGGGGCGCCAAAGGCCGAGAGAGGGGGTGGAGGTTCTTCTGCTTGTCTTCCACAGCTTTCTGGGCGAGTTTGTTCCCTCTTCAGACTCATCGCTAGAGTTTAAGGCAAGGTGATTGCATTTAGTAATCTGTGTCATTCTGTTCCCAAGAACTTAAGCCAACATTAATGGTGTTTCTTAACTCATTTCTTTACCAGAAGAGTTAATGTATGGAGTTAAGTGCAGAACCCATGGCCTGCTGAGGTGACGGTGATGGTTCAGGCTGTGTTCCTGAGCTCTTTCTGGCATTCCCCAAGGAAAGGAGGAAGCTTGTGGAGTGGGGCGGTTCAGCAGCTGTGACTGGCTCTGGCTCTGTTACTCTTGCCCCATACATCAAAATCAGCTTCCAAAGAATACTCGCCTAAGGGCTTGAAGGGGCACAGGAACCCTCTGTTTCACAAAACTACCCCAAGGGTGAGTTTGTTGAATTTGGCAAAGTCCTGCTGAATCCTCCCCATCTGTGCCCCTACCCAGTTTCACCACTTCCCTAGAGGTGCCCAACCTTTCCAGAGGGCAGTGATCTATTGCTAGAGAAAGAGAGAGACCAGAGAAGAAGGTGACTCTGTAGGAGGCAGTAATTAGGCAGTGAGCTGAAAGGCTATGTTCAGCCTGCCCAGAGCCTGAGGAATTGGAAAAAAGAAAAAATATGTCTGAATAACAAAAAAAGATATTTCTATGTTCTATTATTACTATTATTAGCTATCTATTATTTAATGATCCTGGAAAGCATTATAGTCATTATTCCTACAGTTAGCTATATATTATTGAATACTATTTTTTATCGATATTCCTATTACAATCAATATTACTATTACTAGTTACATATTATTGAATGCTCCTTGGAAGCAGTAAGCCTTTTATAAACACTGTCTCTAATCTTTATAACAAATCTCCAGTGTTGACACAGTTCCTCTATTTAACAGATTAGAAACCTGAGGTTCAGAGAAGAACACACACCTGTCTAATATTAAGGGGCTAGTAATTATTGGGGTGGCAATTGACACATAGAGCTCCATGACTCCCGTATTTTCCCAATCATTAGCTGGTTCTATTTTTCTGAAGATGCTAGGAGTTTAGAAAAAAAGGAAGTGCGGGCACATTTCACAAATCCACAGTCTGTAAGTATCACATCCTCTGTAGCTGTAAACACTGGACTAAGGAAGGAGTAGAGACTTTCAGAAGATGAAGACAAGTAACAAATTCTGATAGGACTGTAGGAGAACACAGAGTTAAAACCTCCTGGAAGTTTTGGAGAGCTTAGCTGGAACCAACGGGCTGGTCCTTGAGGACAGGTACGCAATGCTGGGAGACTTTTCTCACTCACCACTCCCCTGATGTGACTTCCTTAGAGGGGATGTGTGGTTTGAAGCTCCTTGAGAGAGGTTAAGAGACGCTAGAGTATTTTGGAAATAGAATGGGAAAGGGACAGAGTATCTGCTTGTAACTGTTTCTGCTGTTTTCTAAATGCATCGTCTTGGTGTGTCCCTTCCCTAAGGTCATATGATTAATACAAGCACAGCTCCTGCCTCTTTAGATGTTCTCAGGCCATGAGCAAACTGGACAGTCCAGGCACTGAGAATGGTGCAGTGAAGAGAGATCCAAGCTGAGCTCGGCCACTAATATCACAGGCCAATTGGTTCTTAACACTGACAAGTGGAGGGTCCAGGTCTTGAACCTAGGTTTTATGACTCCAAGTCTGTTCTCAAACCACTGCATACAGCTGCTTCTCTGGATTGAATAAACTCTGACACAGGCTGCTATTGCCAGGTGGGAAGGAGGAAGAGGCAGCGTGATCTAGCGAACAGTGCAAAGGCTCCAGAGTCAGATAGCTAGGATCCAACCCTGGCTGTACAGCTTCCCAGTTGTGTGAACAGGCTTGAGTCATAATTATAACTGCAAATATTTCTTCAGCATTAACTCTATGCCATGCATATATGCAAAGTGTGTATTATTTCCATTCATAATAAACTTTTTGATTCTGAGTTTCCCTAAATATTACGTGGTTTTACTAACTAACTAACTAACATACAGGGTTGTTGTAAGAATTGAAGGCACTGGAGGAAAATGTCTAATAAATTATGATAAAAATATATAAGATTAATTCTACTAAATATTATTATTGGATTGAAAAACTGAGCAGAGTTAGAGAGTCTGAGCAGTACAGAACCTGATTAAGAAAATGTTGATGAATAGAACCCTTCTTACATCTCATGACTGGTAGGAAATTCTGAGGGTAAAATTCATGGAATATATGGCAATTCAGATGTTGTAGGTAAGACTAAGGGAAAGAGAGATTTCTACATATTGCAAGTTTTGTGTGACCATTTGCCTCTGAACATTGAGATCTCTCAAGATTCATACTGCTGCCTCTCTGTGATGTGTTTATTATCTATAATGAATGGACAGTGCCAAACATTATGGAAAAATATTCATGAAACCAAAGTTTGGTGGTTTTCACAGCTTCATACCACCAGCTTCCTTCCTTAAAGGACAAGTCAAGTTTGGATTAATGGGCAAGTACTGGCTTACAGTTTTGCGAGCCAAACCTGGGAGCTCTGTATTTTTTAAGAGTTAAATTTATTTTCTCTTCCAGCATTGTCGGCACCATCATGATATCACAACCCATGACCAACGAGACCTTTGTAGTTCTCACACCAAATGGCATCACTTTCCTCCAAACAGAGAGCCCCAAACCCGCCTACCAGAGTCAGGGCAGCCTAAAGAAACAGCTAAAGGTAGAGGTCAAAGTTCTTGGGGTAAGTCCAATTCAGAATATGTTGGAGTGGGATGGAGGGGTGGGAAAGGGAAGAAACTATGTATATCTTGGGACTAGAGATGCATTGTGAGTGTGGAGACTCTTAAGTTTTGCAAGAGGGACTCCAGGTTGATCTGAAGATCAATGGAAGCCACTTGGAGAGCCATTTGAACCCTCCCTAGAACTTTTTCCTATAAGACGGTTTTAAAAATGTTTTTCCCCCTCTTCTGAATATAAGCAATTGAGTTTTTTGCTGTTGTTTCTGTATTGTAGCAATAAAGTATTTCTCTACATTTTCTTTTTTTTTAACCACTTTATTGAGGTGTAATTAGCATATAAAAAGCTGTCCATCTATATATTTTTATAAAAGTAATTGTGGTAAATAATTGCATATTTTATGTACATTTTTTTCTATGTGTTCACCAATGGCATGCTTAATAATCTGACTGATTTTTTTGAAGGGAATTTTTCCCTCGCTGCAAATTACAGGAAAAAATAAACTTCCTTCCTCTCTTTTCTCCTTCTCTTTTGAAAACAGAAATGATATTTACTTTTTGTTTGTTTCTCTCATTTCATGGATGATTTATTAAAGAAACTCTGTGGAGTGAAGGGAGGAGGAAAGGAAAGTGTATATGTATGGCTGGGAGGAAAATATAGAGTTTTGCTTCCTAGACTTGTCTCTGCAGGTGTATGATCTGAGGTGAGGCAATCCATTTGACCAGGTTTCAGAACCGGAGAGGACTGATTGCCTTGCCTGAAATATACAATCATGTGGTAACTGCGAGGCTCATGTGACCTAAGATTTAGAAAACTGCTTGGTAAATGTTAACAGAGCTATAAATGTCTGAGGTGGTTGTCAGGGAGGAAAACTTTATCTCTTAAGCTAGAGCCTCAGGATCCTCAGCTGTAGAGACACGGACTGAAGAGGTCAAAGAGCTGGACAGAGGGCCAGGCTCTATATTGCTGTGTCCATTGGGGTCTGGGGGATGTAAGGAGGAGCTTCCCCCATCGCCAATGCTCAGGAGAGTGCAAGGGCTTTCAGATGTTCCCTGTTCTCATAAGAAGTAGAAGGAGAGTTAGTAGCAATGGAATCGGCGAGCCAGGGAAAACAGATTCTAGCACTTGTCACGAGCTGGGAGCAAGGATCACAGGCAGACAAGGGCAGAGAGGCATAAATGCCTGAAGGCTCGCTGAGCACCTGCCAGATGGCCAGAGACAGTAGTTTTCTGTGGCACAACAGCATCTTCTCCAAAATATCTTTTCATAGTTCTCACTCCAGAGCTTTTATAGTGTCCGTATCTTCACTGGGATCCTGCAGAAGGTAATAACTCAGGAGCACCAGGGAAGAGATGAAGAGGTCTTGTCTTCACAAATGCTGATTTTAATCCTCCGTCTCCCTTCTTCCAACAGACTATCCAGATCCTGTGTGGGATGATGGTGTTGAGTTTGGGAATCATTTTGGCATCTGCTTCCTTCTCTCCACAATTTACTCCAGTGTTTTCCACTCTGTTGAAGGCTGCTTACCCATTCATAGGAGCCTTGTGTGTGAGTAAAGATCCTTAGGAGGGCAACATGGGATGGAAGTGGGAGGAAGATGCCAATAGTTTAGGCTCTTCACCTGTCACCTTGCCAGGAGCAAGGGGTCAATGGTAGAGCTTGTTCTCCTGTGTGTGTAGCCCAGGTAAGAATTGAGTAGGGTGGGAAGGCAGAAGTCACCTGATTTTAAATCTATTTCTTAGCTGACTCAAATAATCATTTCTTTTGAAGATCATCTTACTTTTCACCTCATCATCTTGAGCTATGATGAGGCTAGTGGCTTCTCTCCAGGTTTAGGCAAAAATCCATGAAGTGGGATAAAGTTGGGTTGGAGCCTTCTATACAGTAAAATGAGCACCAGTGAAAGACACCACACGCTTACAGATAAACTCACACATCTCTGGGGAAATCATGGAGGAAGGAGCATTTTCATCTCCAAACACTTTTAAAATGATTTTTGTTGCATTTAGTGGCACTCAGGGCATGCTGAGCAGATGTCTATGCTTTAGTGTTGGCCTGGAAATTCCTCTGAAACAGCTTCAATTCTCTGGTATCAAGGGGAATTTAGTGGTTCTTTTCTCAGAGAATATCTTTCTCCTAGATTAATAAGGATGAGTCTTCCTCACAATTAAGCTTCTCTTTCGTAGTTTTCTCGTAAGCTTCACACGACTCAGTAGCTATCACTTGTCTCTCCTACACTTGTTTCTTTGTCTGATGCATCCTGAAGTCCACCTTTTTCTTCATCTGGTCCTTTTTTCTCCTCTTATTAAATAAAGTCAACACTTTATTTGGATTTCACAAGTTTTTCCGAGAGGTCTTTTTTCTGTTCCAAGATCCCATCAAAGATAGTACATTACATTTAGTCATTATGTCTCCTTAGGCTCCTCTAGACTTTCTCAGACTTTCCTTGTCTGACGACTCTGATAGTTTTGAGTAGCAGTGATCAGGATTTTGGTAGAATATCCCTAAATTTTGGTACATCTGTTCTTTCTCTCATGTTTAGAATAGGGTGATAGATTTTTAGGTGGAAGACAACAGAGGTGAAGTGTCATTATCATCAGTTCATCTCAAGGGTATACACTATCTACATGATTTGTTGCTGATGAAGTTAACCTTGATCACGTGGCTGAGATAATGTTTGCCAGGTTTCTCCACTATGAAGTTGCTTTCCTCTCTCCTCTTTCCATACTCGACTCTTTGGAAGCAAGTCACTAAGCACCAAGTCACTAAGCCCACATTTGCAAAGACATCTTGTCCAATTTTTAAGACCCAGGATTTATTTAGGCAGACCTAAATTACTTAATGCTGGGACCACTGGAACTACAACTTTTCTCTTCTCCCTGTTCTGTTCCCATTTTTCCATTGTCAAAGTATTTTTTGTTACTTAACTGTCCAAAATCTATTAGCTTATGAATACTCTAGAGAGTGAAAATAATATCTTTGATTTTCTGAACACAGCCTTAAAGGTTTTCTGCCACCCAGCCTCATCCTTTCTCCATTCTCAATTACCATTCTACCCTATCCTGAGGGAGCCACCAGCTTAAAATCAATGTCTGTGGCCTCCTGTATCTGTCAGCTTCCCCTATTCTTCTCTTTTTCCATACTGTTGCTTTTGTGTTCTTCTCTAGATAACATCTAACTCCAAAACTTTCTTCCCTCAATTAGAAAAACCTTCTTTCCTGGCTTCTAAGGTTCTTGTTTTCTTTTTTGGCATAGATTCCCACTCATATCTGCCTTTCCTCATGCTTTTCTGAATACTCTATGGGCAAAATGGTCATATCTAGGTATTTAATTGGGTCTTGCATCATTGGTCATTTAGTCCTAGGACTTTTCCCATAGGAGTTTTCCATAAACACCTTGATAATAATGTTGTAGCTACATCTATGCATAGAAACTGACCTGGCTATTTTCTCTCTTTTCTGAGTAGTTTGTCAGCTCTGGATGTCTATCAATTATCACAGAGAGAAAGTGCACTAAGCCTTTGGTGAGTATGAGAACCATAACCCACAACTTGATGGATGGAAATAAAACAGGGAGAACTCTTCAAGGTCAATGTCTCCACTTGGCAGAATTGGAAACTAAGTTTCAGAGCATGGAAGAGTTTTGGAAGAGTTAGGAGTTGTGTCTTGATCATCCATATTCCTGTCCAGTGCACATTCCTCCAACCACTGTACCCTAAATCGTAGTCTGCATTTGGGGTATTGTATTATATCCTAGACCAGTGCCCAGGAATCCAGTCTAGAAAAAAATCTCTCCCTTTATGATGCCCTTTTGGTGGTAACTGGCCTTTAAATTTAGGTTTTCCATTATGAAGAAACTGACAGTGTTATAAAGAGGTCTATTTGTTGTGGAGTCACTGTTTAAACCTCTCTGTCAAACCCCTTGAGAAAACCCAGTCAAAATGTCATTCGTGTGAAGAATTATCTCTCATTCTTTTATCTATCTGATCTGAAAGCTAATACTTTTGCTGGACTTAGTATGAACTCTGGAGTCCTGAAAGTTGTCATTAGTCATTTGTATTGGCTAAGAAAATGACTTCACCTGCTTTAATTCTTTCCAGAGAAAACTAGAATTGGAAGTGGCAGGGAGAGGAAAGCTAGATTATAGGGAGAAGACTTTCTAGTCTGTAAAGGTTCACCAAGTCTTCACTCAATCTTATATCCCTCAAGTAGTTTGATATTGGGGGTCATGTGTGAGAATGTCATATAATACAGTGGCATAGAAACTCAATTTGTAGCTCTGGCTACAAATATCTCCTGAAGGCAGCAAGAAGTCAGAAAGAATGCGCAGGATAATGCCAATATCTCTCTCTCTTTCATTAGAATCAGAGATGATTATTTGGAACTCTCTCTTATACCCAAAACAACTAGATCAGTGCTGTCCAATAGAACTTTCTGTTAGGATGGAAATGCAATAGCCATGCTGTCCAATACAGTAGTCACATGTGGCTATTGATAACTTGAAAGGTGGCTAGTTCAATTGAGCAACTGAATTTTAAGTTTTATTCGTTTACTTTATGTATAAGTAGTCCATGTGGCTAGTGACAACCATATTGAATAGCACAGTACAAGAATAATGTTTCTAGGTTTTCAGGGAGAAGCATATAGGGCTCTTACCCTAGGAAAGAACAACATCACAACGAATACGGCAGCAAGCGCAAAGATACAGGACGAGGTCTCAGGGTCGGCTCAGGCTCACCAGAGTCATCCATCTTGTATTGAATTCTACTGTGATCACACATTATACCAGCCCTTTTTGAAATTGAAGAAGAGAGCTCTCCAGAACAAACCTAAATTATTTGAAGAAATATATACTCCAAACATTATGACTGTTGCTGGCTATCTGGAGGCCCAGAAACACGTACTTTAGTCATTATTTGGGGGAATTGGTGTTTGAAGGAGAAAAGTTCCCTGATTATCCTCTACTGTGCCCCAGAGATCCAACTACTGAGTCCGTAAAAGAAGAATCCTAGCTGGGATTAAGTAATATTCTAATTTATGGCTATCGGGTGTGCCCTGGACCACATCTATTTATAATTACAGCTTTCAGAACGGTCCTAGCTCAATTCCCCCTCTGTGAGTTGGGTAGAAGGGAAGCCATTTCTGAAATCAGTATATTTATTCCCCTCACTTCTTAAATGTAGAAATGAGATCCAGAGTGGGAAATGAAATTGAGGAACTGAATACTCAAGAAAACTGGAAAGTCAGAGGCAAAGCTACCACTGTGACTTCCATTTCCTCCAAAACTACCACTGTGGCCAGATCTCTTTCTTCTACCTCACACTGCTGCTCACGCATTACACTATCCTTGGGCCTGAGTCTAGAACTCTGCCTATGGCCATCCATACTTGGATGGCCCTGAATGTGGCCAATCATAAAACTGTCCAGACTTTAGGGCCCTCCTGAGACTGAGAACTATCTCCTCATACTTATCTTTGGGTGTGTGTGATTTTAAGAGAGGTCATGTGCCAGGAGGAGTGACCTGCTTCATCTACCTTCTCTGTGTGACTGATGCTTCCACGAGGAGTTTCTGAGTAAGCAGGGGGAGAGAGAAGTCACATCTGCTTTGGTCACACTCTCTTGGGGATTTTGTAGCCGTAGCTTCTTGGAGCCCTGCTGTCAGTCCAGAATAAAGAATTTAGGCGAGCAACATTCTCTGCCACCCTACTGAAGTCCTGCTTAGAAAGGAACATTTCATTTATTCATTCACTTAGCCAAGATTTACCTTCTAGGTTGAGAGATGTTGCTAGGCACTGGGTTTAAGTCTATCAATCCTAGACCTCCTGAGGGACACAGATAAGAAAATAAATTTTTGCAATGCACTGGCAAAGAGGTTAAGAGACATTTGTTGCTCATTAAGAGTGGTCTTCACTCAACATTTCTTTTTCAGGTTCAGAGCAGCCTGGCTGCAAACATTCTGAGTTCTCTATTTGCTCTGGTGGGTTTCATTCTCCTCTCTGTCAAACTGGCTGCTTTGGATCCTGCCTTACGGAAGTGTAGCTTGGACAAACAGCATACACCAACTGAATACTATTATGACCCCTATGAAAACGACTGCCCCAAGGCCAAAGCTATTCTGGTTGTAAGTATTTTTAGATGGGACGTTCCAATCTTATAAGGTTTCTGAAAGCCATGATTTCTTGTTATCCCTTCTTTTTAAGACTAAAAACTATCCTTTCTAATTCTTTCTAGTTTGAGCATCTCAGAGAAGGCCAGGGCTATGTAAAGGAGAGGGGACTACATGACTGAGAGAAAGGGGCTAGGCTATGGGATTACATACTAATAGGGTGGAATGGAAGAGTAAATATCAAATACGGTTGATGCTGAAAAACTAAAACTCCTGGATAGAGCTTCTTACTAACCAAACTGATTCTATTGTTAGAGGCATAAAATATAACTTTGTCAAACTGAAAATCTTGGTACATGGAATATCTTTGCCTTAAGAAAGGCAAAGATAGCAGAAAGACTCAAGTGATCAAGAAACATGTATGTATGTGCGGTGGGGTATTAATTTGGTCTGAGCAGACATCAGGTCCAGCACTCAGAAATGGAGATTAGGAAATAGGAGATTTGAAGGTGAGGGTTTCTCCTTCCAGTTACCACAGTGACGAGCAGAATTGATCACGTGCAAAGGCAACATCATTGTTGTTTTTGTTATAACTTACGGGGGTGGATTTATTAAATTAGAAATATAGGAATATGGAGAATGTTAACTGATAATGACTGTCATTATTCGAGGAAGGAAAGCTATGAAATTTGGCTAACAGAAACAATATATCTTAAGTTGGAGCATTAAGGGGCATGTGTATGGCCAGCAATACATTGAGGAAAAAACAGGTAACACAAGAATAAAAAGGCTGCAGAATATTTGTTGTCCTGCAGTTATAAAACTGAGTTAAGTCAAGAACACAGTTGGAGGATGGCCAGACAAAAACAGAGCTGGTCCAGCTCAGGCATGCACATCACTGCTTATGGAGGCTGGTCCCAGGTGCTTCTCCCCAGGCTCATGACATTATAATGAGAAAAAGTACATGCAAACGTGGTTGATAGTTATTGGTATAAACTAACACATGGCAGAGCCAACTCCACCTTGGAAAAATTCTTCAGGGAAGTTTAGGAGGGATTTGTGTGGTAGATAAGGTATGAATTCATGATGGGATAATTTTCCATTGTAAATAAAAGGATTATGTTGATCTTCCTTGATGGGACAATTTCTAGGTGATGTAGACAAGTTGTATTTCCTTTTTGACTGTATATAAATAAACTAGAGGTTTGTGCACTCACGTTTTCTCTCCTGTTCTATCATGGCCAGTTCTGCATGAATGATGCCTCAGGACAGAAATGGTGGAACCTATCCTCTTGGTGTAGTATGTTTTTTGAGTTGGTTTGGGTTGTTAGCAGCTATGGTAGTTTACCATCTTGATTGTTCGAACTCTGACTGCCATCAAGAGAGACTAAGAAAGCCCATTCAAAGAGGTTCAGATGTATAGAAGGGGGTGTTCATATTGAATTTTATAAAGAGCTTGCACAGTTAAAACCTCACTGATTCTCACAAATCTCTGAGAAGGAAATATCATGATGCACATTTGATAAACGAGGAAACAGAAGCTAGAGAATTAGATACTTGCTCAGGCTCACACAGCACTAAGCAGTAAAGGTAAAGCTAGAATACAAGCTGTTGTTTCTCAGTCCTGAGCATTATTACACCACTCTGCTTCCTCACTGAGTGGACAATGTGATCAGATTTAGCTATGTCTCAGAGAGGTAAGAACACATGTGTATAAAGTGGGTTAATGATTTAGTTACTGCTCATCCCTCCTCTTCCTCTCAGGGGAAGAAATGAGCAAAGGAATTAAATTGAGCCAATTGATGGGCTTGGAAGGGGCAGCGTTCTCTTCCTGATGGTATCCTTACTTCATTCCCTGATGGTTGAGGCGATCTTTGTCTCTACAGTCACCTCCCAACAAGGCGTGAAGGCTTCGGTTCACACAAGCACTGTCAATCTTGTATTTCCTGCATTTCAGGGAACCATGTCTGTGATGCTGATTTGTACACTACTGGAGTTCTGCCTAGCTGTGCGCGCTGCTCTGGTTTGGTGGGAACAGTCTTGCTCTGACTTCCCTGGGGTGAGTGTATGGCCAGACTCCCTGAGTTTTGCCTGGTGTGTCTCCATTTCTGGGCTGTGTTGAGCTATGTCATCAAGAGTGGCAGAAGGGACAGTCAACCGTTGGTCATGAGATATACATAGGAGGTGGTTTGATGGTGATGGGAGACAGTTAGATGAGGAAAGCAGACGGCAGTTGAGTAGCTGACCAGCTGAGGATTCACTGAATGGGAAGATACTTGAATCTAAGCAATCAACTTGTTCAATATTCCCATTTTGTAAATTCAGAAACTTAGGAAGTTAAATGACTTGCCCAGCATTATGCTATGAGTTTGTGCCTGTGCTCAGGTCACTGGAATTTAGTTTGCCTCTCTTCCAGGCAGGAGCACTTTCTGCCACAGCCGCTTGTCTCTTTAAAAGTCTTGACTTGGTAAAGGGCATTTGCAAATGTGACTGGATTCAATAAATGTCCTTTGCTCTGATTTTCCCTTCTTGTGATCTTAAAATTATTTTTTCCCTTAAAAGATATTTAAAAAATTGTTAAATAAAAGTCTGTGGGACACCACCGTACCATCACCAGGGACTCATGGCTTCATAAATTAAAAAGCTTTGATTTATCCAAAATGTTGTTAGAGATAGCAGAATGAATACAAGCCTAATAAATAAAGTAATTATTTAAAGAACTTAGCAACATGTAATACTTATCTTGGGATAGCTAAGAGTTCTAAGCATAAACTTTGGAGGAAATGTCATCAAGATGTGTATAGTTGAAACTGAATCAAGTCTGAAGAACTGACACATTTTGTTTCTTCTAGAGTGTGCTCTTCCTGGCTCAGAGTCATGAGAATGCATACGGCATGGCCCCAACAGCACGTTCTGACTCTATATATGAAGAATTAGTGACTTCTTAGGGGAAAAATCCATCAGAAATGTGGTTTTATGATAATATATGAAAACCAACCAAAGAAACTCAACTCAAGAGAACAAAGTTTGGGGGCCAGCCCAGTGGCATAGTGGTTAAGTTTGCATGCTCAGCTTCGGCAGCCTGGGGTTTGCAGGTTCGGATCCTGGTCGCAGACCTGCACACCGCTTGTCAAGCCATGCTGTGGCAGTGTCCTGCATAAAGTAGAGGAAGATGGGCACGGATGTTAGCCCAGGGCCAATCTTCCTCAGCAAAAAAAAAAAAAAAAGAAAGAAAGAAAGAAAAAGAAAGCAAAGCAAACACAGGCTTTTATGTAATGAACATTAAAAAAAAACTTTTCGTTTTCTTGTCATTCAATATATGTGTTCAATGCGCATCTCTTGATTTGCCTGATATTATCTTCGGCCAATGTACAGAACTGTAAATTACCATTGACTAGACTGGCCAAATAGACCTTTCCGAGAAAACCAAGCAGAACGGTGATTCAGTGGATCATGGTGATTTAAGTAAGGGAGACAACTTTTTCTTGCACTCCTTAATTGCCAACAAGAGATAACTGATTTATTCGGGTGTTCAGACTCTTTTATGGTAGGCACTAGTGTTTCATTTCATGTATTTCACTCATTAGTCCATGCAAAGCAGCTGGCTACAATTAAGTCTCAGGAACTATATAAGTAATTGGCTTCGAAATAAAATATTTTATTACTATGATGTGTGTTTTATCAACACCATCAAGCAATGAAGTCAATTCTGACACTACCTGGAGATAGTGTCAAATCCCACAGGTTAAGGGCTCAGTCCCACTAGACTGCCATCCCCCGCCCCTCTTCAGATGCCAATCACAAGTATATGTTGTTACCTGTGCTTCTGACCAAACGGCTATAGATGGGAGGTTCCCAAGACCCCCTCCTTAGGCTCAGTTAATTTCCTAGAGCAGTTCACTGAACTCAAGAAATCATTTACTTACTAGATTACCTGTTTATTTTAAAAGGATACAACACAGAAACAGCCAGATGAAGGAGGTGCATAGGGCAAGGCATGGGAAGGGGTGCAGAGCTTCCATGCTCTCTCTGGGTATACCACTCTCCCGAAATCTCCACGTGTTCACCAACCCATAAGCTCTTTCAATCTTGTCTCTTTGGGTTTTTCTGGGGGCTTCATTATATAGGCATGATTGATTAAATCATTGGCCATTGTGATTGAACTCAATTTCCAGCCCCTCTCTCCTAGGAGGTCCAGGGGTGGGACTGAAAGTTCCAACCCTCTAATCCTGGTTGGTTTCCCTGGCAACCAGCCCCCATCCTTAGGTTACCTAGGAGCTTCCCAAAATCACCTCATCAACATAACAAAAGACATCTTTACCACTCTGTCACTTAGGAAATTCTGTGAATTTTAGGAGCTCTGTCCCAGGACCTAGGAGGAAGACCAAATATACATTTATTATAAATCACAATATCACAATTACATATTTTTTGAAAACTCATATTTCTACTTTTCCTTTTAAACACAAAGTAAGTCAACAATGATAGATATAAACCTAAATTTGAACTCCCTTCCTTCCCCCTCATCAAATATTCAAACAAAACAAATAAGCAAACAAAAGCTAACTGAATACTTACTGTTATTAAGAGACAACCAGTTCATTTTTTTTTCTGATTTCAAAATAAGAAAGAACAATTGTTCAAATGTAAAGGTTAAGCCTTGACACACACAAATACACATGCACACTTACACACGCACACACACACAGGTATAGAAAGAAATCCTCAATTTTATGAGCTCCAATTCTTTGAAAGATCTTCTCGTGTATTCCCTACCCTGACCCACTGTATCAAGGTCATCCCTCTGGATCAGATCTGATGCTCAGACATTTTCCCTGATTTATTTTCCAATCTGAGCAATTTATGTTGCTTCGTTTGGTTTTAGCTTTGTCTTCAAACTCTCTCCTTATTATGTCTCCTCCCTTTATTCTGTATCCCCCCACACACATACATACACACGTATGCACACCATTCCTCTTATTTGCCTGATTATGGACATTCAACATTTATTGAACTTTTTGGGTACCAGACACTATGCTTGATGCCAGAGTTTGAATAACATACACTCCTTACCCTCAAGGAGTTCACAATCCGTTGGGGGAAACAGAGATGATAATAAAATTAGAGAAGGATTATACAAGGCACTAATGAGCTATTAAACACACACTAAGTGTAATTTGAGCACAGAATAAAGAATACCCTGTGTTGCCTAAAAGAATGTAGAGGATAAACAAATGTGTATATGTGTGTGTGTGTGTGTGTGTGTGTGTGTATGTGTGTGTGTGTGTGCACGAGAGGGAGAAAGAGAGAGAGACACAGAGTTTCCTTCCTTTGAGAACTCCACCTTCCCAGTGGACATTATCCACTGGGGTTGTCATTCACGTAGTGCCATCTTCCTTCCACAGGGGAGGAATATGACCCAGACCCCACAATTAGTGTATTCCATCCACTCTCCTCTCACTCTAGCTCTCTTTTCTCATCCCTGCCACCACATCTTCACCACGACCACGCCACTATTTCCATCATGATTATCCAATAAAATGTCCAGTACCAACAGTTCCTCCTAGGCCTCTCTTCAGCTTTGATTCCTTTCTCAGAGAAGGCAGCCAGCCCTTTAGGCAACACTTGAAGCTACTTCTTACCATAGGTTCAACCTAAGGGGTAAGGTAGGCATCCACATCTTTTCTCTTAAGTAGCAATGCTCCTCTTGCCTGAGTAAAATGAGATTAGTGTCTACCTTGAGATATGAAGCTTTATTGAAAACACATTTGTAAAGCACTTGCCATTATATCTGGCACATAGAAGATGCTCAGTGAACTCGAGTTTTATTCTCCATGTTCTTCCACCTCATCTCCTCCAATCTGATCCTCTATGACTAAAATCAATTATAATCCCAACCCACCACTAGGATTTTGAACCTGATTATTCTCACAAGATCTTTCACTTCTTCAAGAAAGTCTGTCGAGTGTTCTAAACAGGGTCTCAGACGGTGTAATAAATTTATTTTCTCTTCCCTTTGCTGCAGAGGATGATTGTAGAATTAATGGCCTTTTCAGAGCTTCTGAACAGGTGACTCTACTGACATCCAGTGGTGATAATGAGGAGCAATTTTTCCCCCATATAAATAGAAAAGGCAGACCAGTGTAATAATTGTGTCTCCCCGGAGAATTTTCCTGGAGGCAGCTAACTTGACAATAGGAAATCATACCTGCAACCTTTGTTTGTATATGTCACCAGTGACGGGGGACTATACATCTTTCAGAAATTATTCATTATTTGCATTTGCAAAAAGATATACCACACAAACCATAACCATAAGAAAGTACACACACAACATAACCATAAGAAAGTATAAAATATATTTTAATATAAGAAATACTATTAGCGAGAAAGAAGGATATTTTATAATGATAAAAGTGTCAATACAGCAGAAAGATAAAAGTGTAAATGAATGCATACCTAACAGCAAAACTCTACAATATGCAAAGCAAAAACTGATAGAATTCAGAGGAGAATTAGAAAATTCACCAACTATGCCTGAGTTTCAATATCCTATTCTCTGTCATTGATTAAAAAAAAACTAGACAAAAAATCAAGAAGGAAATAAAAGCCTTGAACAACGCTATCAAGAAATTTAACCTAATTGACATATATTTATATTTGTATATATAACTGATATGTATATGTATATTGTTATACAGCAATAGAGAAATTAATACAGATCATCTGCTAGGTCTTAAAACAAGACTCAATAAATGATATGTAAATCAGTTATATATATCAGTTATATATACTATATGCACATATATTAATATAAATATATATATAATATTATATATATATATATATAACACTCCACTCACCAGCTGCAGAACATCCACACTTTTCAAGTGCACACATGGAACATTCCCCAGCATGGACCATGTTGTAGGAAGAATTATGAAATGACTCTCAATGATCCTCACTCTTGTATAATCTCCTTTCAGAGTTTGAGTGAAACTGTGATATACATGTGATATACATGTGTATATCATAAAATATTACTCCCAGAATTATGTTATGTTATACGGCAAAGGGACTTGTGCAGATATAATGAAGGTTACTAAGAAGTTGACTTTGGGTCAGTCAAAGGGAGGTTATCCACGTAGCCTGACCTAATCACATAAGTCCTTCAAATCTGGGTCTACAGGTCAGAGACAGGAAGTCAGAGATTCAAAGCAGCAGAGACATTCTCTTGTTGGCCATGAAGGGGCAGCTGCTGTGTCTTGGGGAAAGCTATGTGGCAGTGAATTGTCAATGGCCTCTAGGAGGCTCCCAGTGGACAGCCAGCAAGAAAATGAGACATCATTCTCAGAGTTACAGGGAACTGAATGCTGCTAACACCCTGAATGAGCTTGGAAGCGGAGTCCCTACCCAGGAAGATATTGCATCCCCGCAAACACTTGATTTTAGCTATGTGAGACCCTGAGC